AAAAAATTAATAATAATTAAAAGAATGTTTAATCTTACAGTTCAATCATATTACGTAAGACGTAAGAGCTACACGATTATTTTTCATACACAACTTTGTTGCATTAATGTTCTTATAATATAAACACATGTCGATTAAGTGACATACACGAATTAATGTAAATTAAAAGTAAACATTTTACTTCGCATCATATTCTGGAACAAATATTCATCCATGATAAACATAAAATATTTCCTAAATATTTAAAAATAAATATTCTACTTCAAATATTACATAAAGATTCATTTTATAATGAGAAAAAATATATTTTCCATGATATGAAATAAATATTATAAGCATATTTACACAAAATATTCTATTTCTAATATTACATAAAGATTCATTTTATAACAAGAAAAAAATATTTTTTTCATAATATGAAATAAATATTATCTGTATATTAGGAAAAAATATTCTATTTCTAATATGGAATAAAGATTCATTTAATATTCAGAAAAACATATTTTTCTCGTAACATGAAATAGATATTTCCTGCATATTTAAAAAAAAATATTTGTTACTTAATATAAAATAAATATTGTATGTATATTTGAATATTAAAAAAAGATTGAATCTCTTTTTAATATTATATGAATGTGTATACAATATTTTGTGCTACTAGGGTTAATTCTTCTTGCGGAAAGGAAAAGTAATGAAACCATCATAAAGCTAAGGAATGAGCAGTGTCATAATAAACAAGAATAATGCTGAATTTAATTCTTCATTGCCAATGAGTCACTAACTTTAGATTTTTAACGATCATTTATTGATGTTGCTACATACAAAACAGATTAATAAAACGGATCCAAACCTCATTAATATTACATTTTACATCGCAATGTTACCTTTCTGCAGCAAAATGTTCTATACATTGTGAATTACCACCATGCTTTTTTCTTGAAATATCTAAATAAGGAAATACGATCTTGGGCAAATTAATTAATTTCATTTAGACTATTTAATTTTGAACAATATGCTAAAACCATTTGCACTAACTGATAATCTCCAACGATCAGTTTAACAGTGTAGTAATATTAATAATTTAGGATTAAAATAAGATGTTTAAAGTAAGAAGTTCAAAAATTTAGAATTACATGTGAAGGGGTAGGAATACAGTAATATGGGCAGAATCTAATGATAGGATAATCTATTATAAATCTATTATAAATGTCACGTAAGGAAACTGTAAAATATTATGAACTGTTTGATAGAAAATTATTTAAAAGGGTCTAGATATTTTAAACAAAATTTGGAAATGAAACTCACGTGTCCGCGTTTAATTGTGATCAGGGTAGTTTCGTTTACGGTTGCCTTTAAAGGATGAACTATTCCATTGTCGCAAGCAATTCGTGCCAATTCGAAGTTCTGTGTGCACTGGGGGTAGAGTGTGTCGCGCGAAATTACAGTCGTTGGTTTATCCGGTTTGTCTTTGACGCGTAATACATACTAATTGTAAGAAGAACCTGAAACTGCTAGTTCGTCCATGTTTCGTCGACTTGCATATCATCGATACAAATTTGTATGGAGTAGCGGAAATTGCATTTTCGATGAATTTGGAGAATGCTATGTGCTCGAAAATTCTTTGAATGATTTTGTCGGCCAGAATAATCAATGGACTTTCATTCAGAATTTAACAAAAATTTTGTGCTATCGATTTTTTTCTGTAGCTTTTTTATATTTGTGTGTGAATTTGTCTATTTTTCAAAATCTGAGATTCTCCTTTTAGCAATTACTTTTATATTGTTATAATTCCCTTAAATTTTTTAAACGTTGGTGTTTTCTGCGTTATAGGGAAGACGTTGAATTTATGGACACATTTGTATCGTTTCTGATTTGAAATTTGTGAAACGTATAATTAATTTTTTTTTCGTATTTACTTGTCGTTTTCGAAGTCATGACTGAATTCGAAGGAAACTGACAGACAAACGCATTCCCACGTGTTATGATAGGAAGGAAGTTTTCCATTCGTGATTTGTAGATATATGATGCAAGTGATCAAAATACTAAAAAATAACTAATATACAAATGAAAGCTCTTGGAAGAAGAATTTATTTTAGAATACTTGATCACATGCAAATTGTTTGAAACATCATAAAGGAATTTTGAACTTGCAGACAAATACTCATTCATTTATGTAAATTCTCACAGTTGGAAACTTCATTTGATGAGTAACAGCATTATCAAAATGTTCGATCGCGCTGTTCAAATGTTACTGTTAAGATTTCCGTATGCACGGTGAATCATTCATACTGAGAATTCGATTGCAATTTCTCAGATTTTGGGATTTATATGTTCTTTAACAAACGCTTTAGCAAACGAAAGTCTTGCTTGTTTGTCGGCGTTTTTTAATCTTGGTACCGATATCATCTTTGCCCTAATAATATGTGGAAATCTTAAAATACTTCGATGTATAGTGCACTTCGAAACGTTTAATTTGCACTCATTTTTAATATCGATCGGTGACTTTGTAAAATTAGAAGCCACTCGAATTATTTTTCGTTCGTCTCGAGGAGACAGTTTCTTAGGTCGATCTGGACGTTTTCTCTGTCCATGATTACGCTTTTTAGTAACGTAATCGGCAATTGCACTTTTCGAACGACCCATTTTTTTCAATAACAAACGGTTACAAATGGTTCTTACCGTATTTATTTTAATTTTCTGACAATAATTTTTATTTTTATTTTAAAACACTCTGGCGAGAAGCGTCACTCGGTTGCGAAGGGTTAATTTCCTAAAAATTCCGAGATTTTATTCCTTCTTTCTCGGAAACAGCGAATACAAATAATTAATAAATTCCATTTAGTAATTTACGTACTAATTACGTAGTAATTAACGAATTAGGTAACAGTTGTAGTGGTAGTATTTTTAATTATTTGTATTCATTCCTCGATGTATTTTTAACGCGCATCTTGCTACCTACCCGGCGCGGTGGCTCTCCGAGGTCGGACGGCCCTGAGCGCCGTGATTGGTCAGTGTTTTTCGTTAATAATTCAAAAACGAAGCCCCATCCGACATTTTTGCAAAGGAAATTGTTGTTCAGAATCGTCTCAGCTACCCCCCATTTCCGGTTCTTACACTATTTACGGGACACCCTGTATAGGTGTATCCTCTGCCTTCAATACGAAAAACTTCGATCATGGCTTTTTCTCTATCCGACAATTGTTTGCCACGAGGCATTTTCCTTTTCAATATTCATAACACTTACAGTGCCGAACAAAAGTATTGGCACAGACCGTATTTTCAAATAAAATGTTACGTAACTGTGAATAAAGCACAATGTCTTCTTTATTTTTGGTATAAAATATAAGTTTGAGGTTTGAACTTTAAGTATCTCGCGAAACAAAGCGGTTAAGTAGACCTGCAATAATGAAAAATAGTAACAAATACACAGAGGACAGTTTTCGACGAAATAAAATCATTGGCACACTTGTAAATTTAATATTTCTATGAAACACTTATGTAAATATTTATAATATTGGCATGACTGTTGTATCCAGGGAAGTCCCGAGATTCAATTTGATATTCATTTGTTATTTCTTACTAAGTTTGCCTGTAATAAAGTGAATAACACAACAATGTATCGAAAAACACGAGAAACAACAATTTCAGAGAGAAAAATTGTATTAAAATTATCAAAAGAGGGAAATTCATATTCTACAATAGCTAAAATAGTAAATAGAAGTCGTTTCACCGTAAGAAATATCATTAAACGGTTTCCTGACGAACAAAATGTAAAAAATCTTCCGCGAAGTGGTCGTCCACAGAAATTATGAGAACGAGATAAACGAAAAATTACCAAGATTGTAAAAAAAAATCCTAAAGTTGCCTCTACAGAAATAGCGGCACAAATGAAAAGTGAAAATAAGGTAGATGTACATCCTATAACTATCCGGAGAGTTCTTAAAAGTGCCGGGTACAATTCAAGAGTGGCTAGAAGAAAACCATTGATCAGCAAAATTAATCGAAAAAACAGATTAGAGTTTGCAGAAATGTACGTACACAAAAATTTAGAATTTTGGGATAGAATACTGTTCTCCGACGAAAGTAAATTTAATATTTTTAAATCTGATGGTCAAATAAGAATATGGCGAAAGCATAATACCGAGTTGGATTCGCATAACATAGTCTCAATTGTTAAACACGGGGGTGGTAGTGTATTAGTATGGGGTTGTATGAGTTCCTCCGGACTTGAAGAACTAGTTTTTATAGACGGTATTATAGATAAATTTGTATATTTAAATATTTTGAAACAAAACTTTAAAAAAAGTGTGGAAAAATTAAATCTTGGGGAAAATTACTATTTCCAACAAGATCATGATCCCAAGCATACTGTTTATATTGTCCGCCAATGGATCGTTTTTAATACACCCCATACATTGCCAACCCCTTCTCAATCGCCGGATTTAAATTCGATTGAACACATATGGAATGAGTTAGAAAGAAGGATCCGAAAACACCTTATTCGGACAAAGGAGCAATTAAAAGATGCACTTATGAAGGAATGGAACGAAATAGGTTTAGAAGTAACACAAAATTTAGTACATTCGATGCCTAATCGGTTACAAAATGTAATAAGACAAAAAGGATTACAAACAAAATATTAATTTGAATATTGTATTATGAAATAGTAAGTGTGCCAATACTTTTGTTTCATCGAAAACTGCCCTGTATGTGTTTGTTATTATTTTTTATTATTACAGGTCTACTTGATCGCTTTGTTTCGCGAGATACTTAAAGTTCAAACCTCAAACTTATATTTTATACAAAAAATAAGGAAGATATTATGCTTTGTTCACAATTACATAACATTTTATTTGAAAATACGCTCTGTGCTAATACTTTTGTTCGGCACTGTATATATTACAATTTTTGTTAACCTAAATAACACACTGGACTCTTAAAGACGTCAAATAAAACATATGACAAGCAAACAAAAGAAAACACAATCCAATTGATGGAAACGTAATAAAAATGTTATAGGTTGGTATATTAATGAAACGCTTGAAATTTAGTATTTTAGGTTTTTACATAACCATTTCTATTATATACACTAAAGTATTATAATTCTTTCGTTTTATTTACTTAAATAGTATTATACATTATTCTAAAGTGCCGCATCATCATAATCCTTTCCTAATCTGTCAAAATATTTAAATATAGACGGGTTGGTATATTTATGATACGCACTGTAGTGTGTCTTTAGGTGGAGAGCACGGAATTGTAGACGAAATTAACAAACTAACAACGTGTGTAACGCCCCTGTTTTGCATATCTGCATATAACATGCAGTAGGTTTAAAGAGACTGGTCGCAACATCATTCTTGCGTCTTGAAGTTTATCTAGAACCTTACAAGAAAATATTAGAGGGAGAAATTACTTAGATTCGTTTTGCAACGAAACTTTGTGACGAAACGTTGCAACCAAACGTAATGATCGAAGGTTGTAGTCGATCGTTATAATTGGATTTCATCATCAAAAGTGACCAATGTTAGTGATTGAATTGTTCTGATCCAATTTTGTGACTGATTTTGGCAATCAAAGTGAAAGATTATACTTGAAAATCAAACTTGACGATAAATCTTGACGAAGACTTTGACGATTGAACTCTAGAATGGAAATATTGACGACGAAATTCGACGTTTGAACGTAATGATAGAATTTAAAAATGCTATCAGGCGTTCGAACAAGTCGAATTTATTTTCAGTATTGTCAGAATTTGAACGTGTTTCTAAAATCAATACCAATTCTCTTAACTAGAAATCCAAACCAATTTCTCTTAACTAGAATATAATCAATATTGTACATTATAGATTTTATAAAACGCTTTTTCATCATTAAAAACGTTTCTTTTCACTTCGTGACAGTAATAATCCAACAAATGGTACGTATAATGAGTCCAGAGAATGCGTTTTCAGGCGTCCGAGTAACGATTTTCCGTTTCGTCTATTCCATGGATTGGTACAGAAACTTTCCATGTCGAAGACGTCCCTTTTGCAACACTGGAAACCATCGTATTCACCCTACAGCAGGTGACTGAAATGGCAAGTTAACCAGAGAGTGCGAACTGCACCAGTCGCGAAATTAACTAATGCTTGGTTGCATAATGCGCTCGTAATTTTGGTCCCTTTGCGAGCACCATAATGCGTCCCGGTGTTCGCTTTAAAATATCTGCGGAGTTTATGGAGATTGTCGATGAAATGTGTCGCTCATGCATAGATACACTACTGTCCATAAGTATTTGGACACTTCACGAATGTCGGCTAAAGAGTCGATATCTTTGTTTCAATTAATGTATTTCTAATTGGATCAACATGAATTTATGTTATTGATGTATAAGTAATACTAAGGTGAATTGTATGCAAAATTCTTACCGACAAATGGACGAAATTTGTTAAATATTGCTTTCGTACAATGTATATTCACCTCGTTGGACAATAATAGCGTTGACTATTCGTAGTAGTCTCGATGTTAATTTTTTTACAGTTTCTTCTTGAATCTCTCTCCAAGCTTCTTGCAAATAATCCCACAATTTCTCGATGGGATTCAAGTCGGGTGATTGTGGCGACCATTGCATAATTCCCATTTCATTATTGTCTTCCAGGCTTTTTAAATAATTGGAACATATTTTCGCCGTATGTTTCGGGTCGTTATCTTGCATAAAGATAAAGTTTTCACCGATAAGATCCTTCTTTGATGGTACCGCATGCCCGCTCAAAATTTTCAAATACTGTTCTTTTCGAAGAATTCCATTAACATTCACTAAACTTCCCACTTTGTTTGCAACAAAACACCCCAAATCATAACACAACCACCTCCATACTTTACTGTGGGTGTAATGCAGTCTGGCAACATTTTCTCATTAGGCTAATGAACGACGCTTGCTTCCGAAAACTTCAAATTCTGATTCATCGGTCCAGAGCACCTTTTCCCAATCTGATGTTGTTCAATTTGCATGTTGCTTTGCCCATTGGAGCCTTTTCAATTTATTTTCAGGTCTTAAAGGTGGTTTTTTAATTGCCACCCATCCTCGTAGTCCACTTTTTAGTAAACATCTTTTCATCGTTGTCATCCCAATAGGATTCTTCCTCTATTCACTTCTACTGTGATTTCTGGTACTGTCATACTCCTGTTGCGTTTGCTGAGGGTCTCAATATACCGGTCTTGAGCTTCCGCAGTCTTCTTTGGTTTACCTGATCTCTTCTTGCTGCTACAAGTGTCGCAATTTATGAAATTAGCAACCGTGTACTGCACTACGGAACGCGAAACAGCGACTTTGGCTTCTACTTATATCCCTAATGGAATGACCATTTTTCAATGTCAATAACGCAGAACGTTTCTCTACTGATAATCCGCTTCCTCTCGCCATGATTCTTCCCAAAAGCAATGCTAAACTGAAACTGAGGCGAAGGAAACGGCATCCATCGCTTTGGCTGCGTCTTTATCTCTAACAAATGAATAGAACTTCACACAATGTATACAAATACTTCAAACGTGACCCAGACTAGATGATGCACTTACCCTAAGATGCCAAACACAAGCAGATGCGACCCCAAGTCACTTGAAGCCTCCATATTCAAGTGCCCTCACAAGACCAATTTTCGTCCTCTTTTAGTTATTACCATTTTATTTATACTACTTGATATTAAATATCGCCTGTTTCGAATATTATTGATTCTATATGGGCGTGTGAATAAAAAACAATGATCGAAGTTACGTTAGACGGTTTTACCTATAGATTATTTCAGTTTTTTCCGACAAGGTAGAGATGTCCACATATGTACTTATGGGCAGTAGTTTAAGCAGACATAGATGAGTAGATCTACTTCGATGACGATATGAAAACTCGAAAGCAGAATATCGGTCGATCAGGTAGCACAATTAACGCCTGAGCGACAACAAAACGCGCGCCACGATTGTTCCCGTTTTTCACACTCCTCGTTTCATTCTTGTCTCCATTCACGGTCGCGTTCTCTTTCGCTATCCAGTGATAAAATTCGACGTCGGAAATGGACTATTTTTGACCGGAAAGTTGAGTGGATGGTTTCTGGTTCGTTTAGTTCTGACCGAATTTCAACTGGCTGGGAATACAATAGATCAGTATTTCTCAAACTTTATCTTCCTACAGACCGTCGAAATAGAATTAAATTCTTACATTTTTTAAATAATTGAAAAGTATTTAAAAAAAATTGTATTTATGATTTGCCAAATTTTGTCAAAAAAAAAAAAAACAATGCACGGAAGGTAAATATGAACAAAAATTAGCGGACTCATATGGACCATCGTGAAGTTTATTTAAAACTTTATAAGACGTATTTTTGTTTTTCTTCTGAATAATATTATGATGAACGCGGAGCTAGTTTCATTTCGATTCCTATTTAGGTGATACGTAAATTCTGAAAACACGTTTGTATATTGAAAAAAGACTACGAATAGAATATCTATTTTCACTTGCATTTGCCCATACACTCACTGTTACATAATCTTTTCTCATGTTTTCTTCCCTCAGACGTGTTATGAATATATGTATAGGGTGTTCCCGAATAACATGTACAAGCAGGCGGGGAGGCGATCCTTTATGAAAATATAAGAAAAATAAAAAGAATATTTTGTTTGATTTCGTTTTTAAGATAATTAAATTTGAAAATTCGCTTTGTGTTCCCACTCTTAAGACTAAGATACGATTTCCCCACTAACGTATAATGTCTGTCGTGTTTGTAAACAATATTTACATGACAATGTTTTACGATTAGGATATAATAATACCTCTCTGTAATACCGAACAGTAACAAGTAAAGGGTATAGCCGAATAAGAGGGTGAAAATTTGGTTCAAGGGTATTTAAGCGAATACACAGTTAGAGAAACGATGGAATAGAAACTGCTCCATAATTGTTTTTGTGTATATTTTAGGTGAAAATATTTTTTAAATATTTTAAATAGATTTTCATTGTTATATAGTTGAAAAAATATATAGATAATAAAATAAAAAAAAGATGCGCTTTAAACTGGGCGCGAACCAGCGTCAAAAAGTTTGCGGCATACCCACAGTCAAGCATCTTACTCACTGCACCATTGCACCTCTTTGAAATATTGCTGATATTTTTAAATATAACGCACATAGCACCTTCAATTTGGTGACTTATTTTTATTTTTCTATTCTATACACCGTTTTATTCAACATAGAATTGTTTAAAACTATAGAATATGGTTATCTATTAAAGGGAATACAAAAATTTAAACTATAAGTTGCTTTTTCACGCGAAAAATGCTGAAAAAATCGGTTTTTGATTTTTGCTACTACGGCGCACCCTGCCAAAAAATCTGAAAAAATTCAGGGACATAATCAATGACTATATGCATTTACAGTAATTATATAAATCTAGTGTCTCGAAAGCTTCAATACGAAATCTGGATTTATCTGCGTTTTTAATTTTTCACACCTAGAATTTGAAATCGAAAAATCAGAAAAAATTCTCAAACACGTATTTCAATAACCACAATGCACCAGATTTTGTTCATAATTCTCGAACTCGATTAAATAAGGGAAATAGGCACAAATTCGCTAATCCGAATTTTCCCTATAACTACCCTTGAGAACAAGATAGAGGGTGTTGAAATTTGGCACAGAATGTTTTTTTCTGATGCTGTATCGATGGATCCATTATATGTGAAATTTGGTTCAAGGGCACATTTAACCCCCTTATTCGGCTATACCCTTTCATACTAATCTTGAAAACATCATACCTCCTGAACAGATTGGATACCACTATATATATAGTGTTGCGTTAAAGTCGGCGCGATTTACAAATTGCAAGTGCAATGTATATAATTACTCTTTATAGTCTCCGCAATAGCGGTAGGTACTTGCCAAAGAAATGCTTACTTAAGACATAAAGATTTTTTGCACCATCCGTATTTAATTATAACAACGTCACCGCAAATATTACATTTTGGTTAGCTTTCGACAGAGTAACAATACTCAACGCATCTGGTATTTCGTCTATGTACCAGCTCCTGTACCACGAGTACTTAATGAAGTTCTGAAACCGTGGAGGTTAATGTCATGATTTAAAACGAGCACCACATACATACATATACATACGTCCAGTGGTTGCACATAGGTACTTTATTCCACTTTTTGGTATATTGAAAAATCTTTGTGTTAACTATTAAGGATAATATAACTTTCGCCAAGTGATTGAATCATTTTTCCTTTGCAGTGTTTTCATATATCTGTGAAAAAAGGTAATAGTTTCAACATATTGTATATGTACATAAAAGTATACATATATATTTTCATAAATATAATACATAAATAGTGAGATTATAATTGATAATACCGTTTTAAGTGATTTTTCACTGAATTAATGGATAATTCATGTAGTTGTACTTTTTTAATCAAAAGGAAGCCAAAGATTATCTTTCATACTCCCTTTTTCCTTCGTATTATGTATTTCCATTTATATCTTGACTTGATACTGAATCTGTTATGAATTCTCACCTTTGTACTGTGATTAGGATTTATTTTATTAACAAAGTTAATAAATCCAGACTTCTCAATAATCGAAAAGGGTTGATTATCTACTGTTGCAATTTGAGTCAACAGAATATTTCGAATGAATTTTATCCTCTTTTTTTCTTATCTCAGAAGTATTCGTGTCAACCATAGCATTGTGGCAAAATGATGTAAAAGGTAAACATGCATCGTTATGATTACACCTTTTCTTACGTACCATCTTATCATCAGAATATTCATTAGATTCCACATATTTCTTACGATAAAATTTTAGATGTGACCATAAGTTATTTGTATTCTCTGAAGAAAGAACTTCTTTGTAACTTACACTTGATTTTACGCATATTATCTTGAATTTCTTCCCGAAAATATGTCCACATATTACTGCGTTCGCAACAACTGTTGTTGTCATGCTGGTTCGAAGGAAACTAATGATACAAATAGAAATATCTATTTCATGTTTATAAACACAAATGAGAGCTGATAGAGCAGCCTGTACTGAGAGTTATACCGAGAACGAAGCTAGCCCAATAAATTTCTAAACAAATTAGTTATCGATATATTATTAGTATATCGATCACAATTGTATAGTATGTATTGATAAATAGAGTTTACCAATATCTTATCGATAAATATATGGTTAAATGCATCTCCACCTTGTAGCACTTCACGATCGCCTTCAGAAATGCAAATTTCCAACGTCGACGAATGAACCCGTGTATTGTGAATGGCTGTGTCATCGAAGCTAATTATTCCTGTATCGATTCGATGTTTCCTCATACGAACTTCCTCTTAGGTTCGTTCTCTTTGAACAAGAATCGAGAATCGATTTCGTCCCTCGACGCCGATTCTCGACTGTGTGTTGCTGTGGCGTAGATCTACCTAAATACTGGGAGGATTAATGACGTCGATAGACGGAAATTATCGTACGCCGGAGAACGAGTAGATTCGAAGTTTGCGACTCGCACTTCGACAAATATCACCACGAGCATTTCTGATCCTCTTGTTCGATTTTATTTCCCGATTCTTCCATTTTCTGCGCGCTTCCGTTCTCATTTTCTCTCCTCCTCGTTTTATCGAGAACAGTCAGCCCTGGCAAACATTAATTCCGTACACCGCGAAAGATGGAGTACTGCTTTTGCTCGGGCATGATCATTAAAATAACGAGTGCAAGGATTCTCAGGAGAGGGCCACCCTCGAAGACGGCCGCCTTCTCGACCAAGTGGAGGTTAAGCTTCATCTCAAAGAGAAGCTGTGGAAACTAGAAATTTGTATCGTTGAAATGGATAGTTCTGTGTGGAAGGCTAAGGAGTTATAAAAGGAAGATAGTACTGGAAAGTGGTAATAAAGGTTCAAGTAATTTGAATGGGGCAGTCATTTTTAACCATCTTTCCACGAAAACAGGGCTACGCTGTACCATGAATGTTTAGCAAAAGATGTAACGAATTTGTATTTTTTGTTGCTTTTAAATGTATTATCGTAACATGAGCAATGTATGGTCACTAATTTGGCTTTCAATCCTTATATGTACTCCACGATTGTACAATGTCGTCGACTTAACGAGGCAGTCCAAACCCAGAACTTTAACCCTTAAACTCGTATTGTTACTTTAAGACGCTAAAATAAACTGTGTTAAAATTTCATGAGTACTTTTTTTTACGTATTTTAACCTTAGACAATAGTTGTTCCGATTATTGCAAATAATTTTATTTCACTAGTGTAGTGGTAGGAATGTTAGATACCCTTTTTATTTTTTATCCTAGAGACTCTCAGAATAGTCAAAATTAAAACATTTTGGTGAATATTAGAGAATTTCATGTGAAATGCACTACATGAATATAAATATTGTAGACCTTATAAAACCTTCAAAGTTTTCGCTTTTTCTAAATTGATGCAAAATCAGACATCTAGAAAATGAACTGGTAATATGATAGAGCATTACTTTTCTGGGAAATAAGTTCCGAAACTGCGTTAAAGAGTTTATAGAAAAGTTTTAATAATGTGCAAGTCTAAAATATGACTATACAATTATAATTTATGCAATTTTATAATTTTGGTAGTACAATGGTATATGCTTTGACAAATACCTGTGAAAATTTCAGCAATTGTGGACGCTCAGTTGTTGTTTGGCTGTCGTTTGTACCAGTCGATGTCAGTATTTTTGTAAAGATAGACCAACTCACACTTTGGCGGTCACCATGACCAAAATTCACGAATTGCGTTTCGAAATGGTTGACCACCCATCGTATTCACCAGATCTGGCCCCCAGCGATTTTTTCCTCTTTCCTAAGCTTAAAATATCGCCTGGAGGGCAGAGATTTCAATTGAACGAGGAGTAAATGCCTACTTTGCAGCGTAAGACACCACTGTTTTCGCTGGGAAAAGTGTATTGACTTAAGAGGAGACGATGTTGAAAAATAAAGCTATATTTAACCGGAAGAATACTTGCTTCTATGTTAGGTTCACAACTTTTCAGACCACCCTCGTACATATATTTCTAAATCTGCATAGTCGTGACGTAATTAATACAACAAAAAACTTGCTGTTGCAAAATATGCAGACTGTAGCATTTGATCTTGATTAAAGCTGTACAGGTTCACTAATATCACTCATATTACTACCATCTCTCGATTTTACTTTTTTCTCATTATATTATAATTTAACTCACAATACCTTAAAACCCTCATTGCTATTATGAAACCTCGATTATTATAGAATAACATAACTGCTTTTCTTTAAAATCACAAAATAAATAACAGAAAATTCCACTTGAACTCCATTGCGTAAAAACTTTCTGTTGCATCAAAGACAATAAGCGTCTGTTGAACAATGAAATAGCGGCATATAACGATGGTTGGTGCTACAGTGGCGACCAGCTACTTAAGACTGCTGGGTAGTTAAGGAAATAAATAGTGCTAATATTTTATTCATTGTATTTTTCATATACTAAACTCATATGAAATATATTTTCAAGTATGTTATACCATAATATTGCAATTATTTTATTTACAATACTATTAGCTACAAATATTTTTAACATTTTTTCAGATTAGGTCGTTATGACAGCAAACAACTACTTAAGACCAAATCAGACTAATATTATCAATACAGGTAAAATTAATGAAACTTGTTAATTGCGGAAAAATAAAACTTAGCAAATAGTTAGTAACGCGTTGCACTCCCTTTTTGTCGTATCACTTCTTCACAACGTCTTCTTCACAACTCCATAGACTCAATTAAACGGCGACAACGCTCGACTGGAATATTATTCCACCCATCTTGAATAATAGCGTACAATTCATTTAAATGTTTGGGCTTTTTATATTTTACATGTTTCTCCACATCAATCCATAGCATCTCAATAGGATTGAGATCTGGAGATTGAGAAGGCCATGGTAAAATGTTTACATTTTGCTGACATAAAAATTGTTTAACCCTACGGGCTGTGTGTTTCGGGTCATTGTCAGCTTGCAAAATCCAATTATCTGGCATTTGATTTCTTGTAAACGGGAGCAATACCTCATTTAATATATCAATGTATTTGTATTGATCCATTATTCCTTCAATTCTATGAATTGGGCCAACACCTTGTAATGTAAACGCTCCCCAAACGTTCACTGAACCTCCTCCACCTTTCACGGATGATTTTATGCATTTTGGTGAAAATTCTTCGTTCGCACAACGTCGAACGTTCAATTTGTCATCTGACCTCATTCTATTAAACTTGGACTCATCAGTAGAAACAACTTTTGGCCAGTCTGCTATTGTCCAGTTACGATGATTCTTAGCGAACTGTAAACGAAGCTTTCGGTTTCATTTGGGAATGAGTGGCTTCTTGCGAGCGATGCGATCCATAGGATTAAATTCGTTTAATCTTCTTCGCACTGTTCGAACACTAATTTTCCTGATAATTTCGACACTAGATTCATTGAGAACTTGTTCGGCTGTTTTGTAACGATCCGCTTCAGAGATGCGGTGAAGAATGCGATCTTCTCGTGCTGTTGTATTACGAGGCCTTCTTTTACGCGACACGTTACAAACTGATCCTGTCTTAGATATGAATTCCATTGCCTGTATACACGCCGTTTTGGAAATATTTAATTTTGTAGCAATTGCTGAAAATGAGTATCCCTCATCTCTCAATAATTTAATTTTAATTCTTAGTTCAGGAGTAATATTCTTCTCTCGACTCATGATTGTTGACTGATTAGCAATTGTTTGCGATCTTGAATGCAGTGATCCATCGTAATCATGTTAACAGTGATGGTAACTAAGGATCTGATACAACTATGTAATGTGAAAATAAGCAAAAAATGAGAAACACGAATCGATCTTAAGTAGTTGTCCGCTGTTATAACGATCTAATCTGAGAAAATATTACAAATACTTGCAGTTTATTGTGTTGTAAATAAAATTATTGCGATATTATGGTTTAATATACTTCAAAATATATTTCATATGAGTTTAGTATACGAAAAATACAATGAATAAAATATTAGCACTGTTTATTTCCTTAACTAACCAGCGGTCTTAAGTAGCTGGCCGCCACTGTATATGATATTACTATGATCTTCATACTTCGTTTTCATTCATTGCTATATGTATATGCCAATATTGTATATGGTTCAAAACTTTAGTAGCTTATATTTATGTGATAATCGATTTTGGATTAGATTTTGTTTATGTGTTATCTGTTGATGTGTATATTTTTCTATACATATATATGTATAGCTATACATATTGTTGTATCTTCTTGAGCAATATATTGGTGCTGATACTTTATATCCTTCGGTAATGCCTCTGATCTATGGTTTCTGGTATTTCATGGCATTTTCTGCATTTATTCGTCTTTATCGTTCTGTATTTCATTGTATGTTTTGCATAGTTTGCCATATACATGTACTGTTTGGTCATATATACATATCATAAATCCTTCTGTCTCTCCCAGTATATTTCTTTTTGTTATCCACGCGTTGAATGTATTTGTGTCAATGTGTTTCGGTGGGTCATTATTTTATCAATGGATGATAAAATAATCCATTTTGTAATTGCGACTATTAAGATGTAGTGATGTAGCTGTAAGCATAGTTGTCCCTCGAAGTACGCGTCGCGTAGTGGATTTACGATACGCCAACTTCTATTGACGAGTTAATAAGATAGTAAAGGTGAACGTGGTCGCCAAACATCCAAATTCAACGCAAATAAATAATTTGTAGCGTCTTAATCCCTTGTACTATTAAACAGTCGGGAATAAAGGAGCGCGTACTAGCCAATCCTACCATAAACCCATATTTGGAATTCCAAACATATAAATTAGGGTAAATTGGTATATTATTGAAATTGGTTAAATTACATTTTTTTGTTCACCCAGTATACACGCTCGCCTATCGGTCACCTTGATGTAAACAGAAAGACGATCGGCGACCCCTTACATTGCAACGCGCCTACGGCACACGTACTTACTGGCGCAGTGAATGTGGTAAAACCATTGTTCAGATAAAAGTTGTACACAATCTCACCCTCTAGAATATATTGGGTCATTCCATTCGAAGTCGGACACCTTTTGGAGTACCACGTCGGATTTTGCTCTAATTTGAATATGTTGTAGTCTTTAGTGATATATACACGTATCTCGAAGGATTTTAAAAAATTTTAAAAATTGTTGGTTTTACATCTGTTTGAAGTATAGAGCTTACTTTTTTCAGTAAATAATAGCTGCTAAAGTAAGAAAGTGATAAAAATGTGCCTTTAGGTAGTTGTAGTAGATTCATGGGAGTACCGAATAAAAATTATTTTAATTAAAAAAAAATTTTTGAATATTCAAAAATCATCGAGATCGCTCAATGAATACTATAGTGTATAAAAATGTTAAATCTTTTTTGTAAAAACAAATGCAAATGCGCATTAATTTTTACCCTTCCCTCAATTGTATTTCTTTTCAATACTGAAATACAGCTTTTTTTTTAAAAAAACTATAAAAGCCACTAAAGTAAACATTTATTCTCTTTTATAATACAAATATAGTTCGAGCGAGCCATGCTCCAAAGAAAGATGAGAGCGATCTTTCAGTTCTCTTCGTCTATAGGTGTCGTAGTTTAGCCTGGATTGGAAAACACTCTTACACGATTCACTGTAATTGTACTATCATATCCGTTTTAGCATTTATCTGATAATCCTGTCTATCATAAAAATCGATATGTATGGATCGATTTAATGCCAATTTGTTTCTTCCTGCGTCGTAACATTTACACAGAGATACTAGTGCAGCTAGCGGAGGAACAATTGTCATTTAAGATAAAATATTGGTGTATCGGGACTTGATATACTTACTTTGTAAAAATGACGCGCATGTTGAGTTTGAGCAACGATCATTTCTCTGCTGACAGTGTTAGTGTTTCGCGACCTTGGGACAACGTTGATGATCACTGGTGTACTATTTGTTATACAATAAACTCTCCCTATATATGTAAACATCACGGGACTTAACCGTTCCATATACAGAATACCTGACACGGTTTTTTATCTTCGCTGGCAGCGTCGAACATAGAGAAGGACAGTGAACGAAAAGAAAGAGAAAGGATGAGTGTTCGAGGCAGCCGGCAGAGGTTAAAACAGCCTGCTGACGCTGATATTTGTTGCGATACAAGTTTTGATACAAGCAATGGGTTTGAGCTGTCTACAGACCATGCAAGCAGTGACACTAGTGATGGATGTAAGCGAATAACGCATTCGACGTTGAAATTGTCACTCTAATTTCCAATATTATGAGAGTTATAGACTTGAACCCTTTGCTAAAACAACAATGTATCATTTTGAAAATATCTGCGTATTCAAGCAAAAATGTGCGAAATGCCGCATTCCAAGAACTTGTCGCAAAATGCAGGGAAAATATTCTGCGTATTTTTATTTGAATACGCAGGTATTTTGATATTCCAGAAGCATTCGTATAATCTATAAATGTTGATGAATTCTTCCCAAAAATTTTTGTCTTGATTCATTTTAACCAAAATATACATACATATATCGTTATGTTGAACCTTCTACTTCAGACTCTGCTTACTAACTAGGATGGTATACCGACAAGGAATTTTCGCGAACGGTTCGGCTTCGATTTTGATGAAACTTCATACACTTATAAAGCAGCCAAAAATAATCGACACTTTTTTTAGCTGCGGTAACTCGTTTAAGGAATGAAACCACCCCTTGAAGTTTTGGCTCGAAACGGCTATCTCGAAAACGGAAAGACATACAAAAAAATTGTTAATGGGCGAGGTTAATGGTTTCTTATGTACAATAACATGGTGTTAAAAAATTTAACAAAATACAATTTGTTTATAACAAAAGAAAATTTATTAATTTAATTTTTCATTTTATTGAAATCTTCAGAATGAAAAAAAATGACGAGCATTTTATTCCAAGTCCATTGGTATATAACATTTTAAAATTGCCTCTTACAGTTTTGCAGATTTTGATGATTTATATCTTGTACACACATCCACTGTGGTAGTAGCCGTTCTAACTTTGATTTTAATGGAGCATTGTAGGCTTGTACTAAATTATACAGCAACAAGTAACAATGTTAAACTTTTATACTCTGTTTTCATTATTTTAGACGACAAACAAATTACTTTGTTACTGTTACAATGGCTCACGCTTTACTTCGAGAGCATTCCTAACGGCGCGATACATATTTATATGCATACATACAAACATACATGGTAGATATATTTGGACAATAGATGTCACGCGTCTGTTTATTTCGTACGTAGATCGCGTACTGCCTTATCGATTTCAGTTATTCCCAACAAACAATAATAGTAACAAGTTTCTTAACAGCAATGAAAAGATTAATTGTTTTTTTTACCCACCTATGACACCGTGACAAAGGTAGAACGATTTATAAATTATAAATACATACAGTGTGTATAGTAATTATTCTATGTAGTTTCGACAATAGTGGTACTCGTCGAAAAAATGAAACATAAAGACTTCTTACACCATGCGCATTTAATTATTGCCACGTCACCGCAAATATGGCATCTTGGTTCATTTTCAACAGAATAGCAGTACTCAACAGGATTCTGGATTGCATTTGGTTTTTCATCTATATATCCGGATTTATACCAGGAGTATTTAATAAAATTTTGGAACCTTGTCGATCAAAATTCATTGTGGACCAGAGATTGAAGTTTAGTTATACAGGGTGTAAACGATAACTTTGGCAAAAATCATAGGGTAAGTAGAGGCCCCATAGGCAAGTATTTTAAGCATCGGAACCCATGTCCGGAAATGCACCAGTAAAAAATTACGGCGATCTTTAACTTCGGTCTTATATAGTCCGACATGAACCACGCAATGTTTACAATTCTGATCAAAGTGGTTTTAATTTGGAATTACATTCAGGACGCACTTTGGTTGAAGACGCTATAAAAATCGTAGAAGGAAGTGTTCAATCAGTGTCATCCACCATTCAAAGTTACACCATTCAACCAACCATTTCAGCTGATGGACAATTATTGTAACCATTATTTATTGTACTGGAAGAGAGTACAGGACATTTCGGGCATTTGTGGAGCAACATTTATTTCGCCATGACAATGTATATCTTGCAGCTTCAAACTCAGATCTTTTCAAGACCTGGTTAAGAGAGATTTACTTCGCAAATACTGGGCCCGCAACAGTTCTAATTCTTGATTCCTGGAGTGGTCACTGTAAGAAGACGGTGAACGAAGTTACTCCCGAGGGTAAAAACGAAAAACTTTTTATAATACCAAAAGGTGAAACAAAGTATGTTCAACCATTGGATGTTTACGGTTTCCGCACTTGGAAAAATTTCGTCCACCGATTTTCTAATATAGTTCTCGTTTAAAATCACGACATTAATCTGCACGCTAGGAATAATATAACTAAACTTCAATCTCTGGTCCACAATGAATTTTGATCGCCAAGGTTACAAAATTTAATTAAATACTCCTGGTATAAATCCGGATATATGTATACATGAAAAACCAAATGCATTCCAGAATCCTGTTGAGTACTGCTATTCTGTTGAAAATGAACCAAGATGCCATATTTGCGGTGACGTGGCAATAATTAAATGCGCATGGTGTAAGAAGTCTTTATGTTTCATTTTTTCGACGAGTACCACTATTGTCGAAACTACATAGAATAATTACTATACACACTGTATGTATTTATAATTTATAAATCGTTCTACCTTTGTCACGGTGTCATAGGTGGGTAATAAAAACAATTAATCTTTTCATTGCTGTTAAGAAACTTGTTACTATTATTGTTTGTTGGGAATAACTGAAATCGATAAGGCAGTACGCGATCTACGTACGAAATAAACAGACGCGTGACATCTATTGTCCAAATATATCTACCATGTATGTTTGTATGTATGCATATAAATATGTATCGCGCCGTTAGGAATGCTCTCGAAGTAAAGCGTGAGCCATTGTAACAGTAATAAAGTAATTTGTTTGTCGTCTAAAATAATGAAAACAGAGTATAAAAGTTTAACATTGTTACTTGTTGCTGTATAATTTAGTACAAGCCTACAATGCTCCATTAAAATCAAAGTTAGAACGGCTACTACCACAGTGGATGTGTGTACAAGATATAAATCATCAAAATCTGCAAAACTGTAAGAGGCAATTTTAAAATGTTATATACCAATGGACTTGGAATAAAATGCTCGTCATTTTTTTTCATTCTGAAGATTTCAATAAAATGAAAAATTAAATTAATAAATTTTCTTTTGTTATAAACAAATTGTATTTTGTTAAATTTTTTAACACCATGTTATTGTACATAAGAAACCATTAACCTCGCCCATTAACAATTTTTTTGTATGTCTTTCCGTTTTCGAGATAGCCGTTTCGAGCCAAAACTTCAAGGGGTGGTTTCATTCCTTAAACGAGTTACCGCAGCTAAAAAAAGTGTCGATTATTTTTGGCTGCTTTATAAGTGTATGAAGTTTCATCAAAATCGAAGCCGAACCGTTCGCAAACATTCGTTGTGAGTCGTAATCGAAAGAAATCTGGTTACGCTAGAACATACATACATTGTATTCGTACTGTAATCTCGAAATTTCGATGAAGTCAAAATGGTACACTGATGTTTTCGTCATGTGTTTAAGTCTGTAGCTCTCATAATATTAAAAAATAGAATGACAATTCAAAGTCGAATCAGTTATTCGCGTAGATCCATCACTAGTGTCACTACCTGCATGGTCTGCCGATAACTTCAACCATTGCTTGTATCGAAACTTGTATCGGAACAAGTATCAGCGTCAGTAGACCGTTTAAAAGCATATTGATACGATTCATTGTTGTTCGACTATGAAACTTTCTTATTATTAATTTTTCAACCAGAATTTCAATACCATACCCATGGCTCGCCCCGATTAAATTAAAATTAAACACAATATAGTTTGGACAATAATTTACATATCAAATTAATAAATACATTTATTAAATAATCACAATAATATTGTATTTAGTCTTATTTTAATTATAAAAATATTACAAATGCAAGAGTGAAACTCTCGCTGAAAAATAACCACAAATAAAAGAAGTTTTACTATCATATTAGAATTGCTTTACGCTGACCTCATTCTTCTTCGGTGCGTTGTATTTTGCTTACATTTTCATATAGGCTAGGGGCAGAAACTATTCGTGACCTCTACGGTCGTGTAGAAGTCAGATTTATGTACTATACCGATTGCAATCAAGTATGTAACAGTAAACATAGCTTGGTCTTTTATTCAAATACCAGTAAACATATTATACTGTTTTAGTTTCTTCGATATCCAACGATGAAAGCTCTTAACGGAATAAATTTATAATATACAAACATATGTATGTATCTTTTTCATGTTTTTCTAATTGGAAACAATGTGATATATATTTACAGGTTGGAAAAATGTTTTGTCCTGAAGTCATATGCACGTTTTACATCTCCAGATCAATGAAGATCTGTTTAAAAAAGTTACCACCAATATTGACCTTGACCGTAAAATGTAAAGTCAAAGTTTTTTGCTTGCATCGTATCCTACTCGCCACAAGAAACAAAAGTTTCAAAAGAACCGTATGTTCATAAATAACTGTAAAACCAAAAATTGATATTTTATTATTATCAACTGTGATGTGAATCTTTTTCGTAGCTTTTTCGTATTCATAATATATCTTAATATTAAGGTTATCTTAATTTTTTAAATTAGTGCTATCATTTGTATGTAGAAGAATGTTCACCTCACATTTCTTGGTCTAATGCAAAGAACAGAACCAATTTGATTCATGATCCGTAGTAACCAGTCCTGTGTGCCAGCTTTAATATGGCCACCATTATTTTGTAGACACACCCACAATCTATTTTTTATATTTTCCATAACTCTTTGATAAATGTTTGGTATATTTTGTACGTCGTGGAAGGCTTGACTTATTCGAGTTCTTAATTCTTGAACACTGCGTATTTCTGACTCTGTATACAGGGTGTTCGGCCACCTCTAGCAAAAATTTTAATGAGCGATAGTAGAGGCCAAAATAAGACGAAAATCAAGAATACCAATTTGTTGATGGAGGCTTCGTTGCAAAGTTATTAACATTTAAAGTTCCGCCTGTAGAATGACAATCCGCTAAACAGCTGGTTCGCGCGGACGGTTGCGGCAGGCGAGTGCTAGTGGTTCTCACGCAGCATGAAAAATTCTGCTTACCGACATTATCGACAGCCTTAGATTTTTGTCCACTTATGGGAATGCGAACACCTTACGTTGAATAAGATTCAACCTGTCTTATGAAAATCCAGAAGGGCATATCAAAACTCGTCCCGACGAGATTTTCACAGAGAAAGGGTGAATGCCAGTTCCAATACACAATGTTGTGAACAAAAATCACCCACATGCGATTATACACGCCCCACGATTGTCCACAGTGTCCACAAGTATCCACAAATAATCCTTTCAGGCACTAACCACTATGCAATTAAATAAACACGTACCGCGATTATGTTATTCGTGAATGTCTACGTGTACGTGTATCACGATTCTTCCGAGTTACTTACGAATAAAACTGTTATTAATTTTTCAAATACACTTCAATTTAAAAATGTAAAAAGGAATCGCAGGATAAATGAAATTTTCGCATCGATTTACGTTCACGGCGAAGAATGTAACAATACTAGCAGCTGACTGTGCCATCGATCGACGAGGTTCAGA